TGGCCTTTAATGTTGGCAGAAAAGGAAGCGTCGGGATTACATGAACCCTAACCAACGCCCGTTAATCAAGACCTGTTTGTTCATCATGTTGAGTGCAGTGAAGAAGCCCTTGCTCTCTGATGTACCTCCAAGCTTTTTGCATGCCTCAGCACTGAACACAATAAGGACAATTACGTCAATTATAATTGACATATGTTGCCAATCGTGAGAAGTTCGATTGAGGCAAACATTTTCGAACAGTGTGCCCATTTCCAGCAGCGATGGCTGTCTGAAAGTGCTCTATAAATACAGTTGAGTTGAGTTCTTCAAAGATAAACTCCTCCAAGAGATTTCACCGTTTTCTACCAAATCGAAATGACACGCGTGCATGAAATGGATAATGATCCTCTTCATTTGAATCTGGTGTGTTGCAGCAGGAAGAGACCGAAAACAGGCGGGACAGCCGCCCCCCGAAAACTGCAGGCCTCCCTCATCTCAGTTACTGGTGTGTTGCAGCAGGAAGAGACCGAAAACAGGCAGGACAGCCGCCCCCCGAACACTGACCTGACAGAATGAAGTCAGACAAAAGATTTCTTCAGTCTAGAAAGGGGCTACAAAACCATTTCAAAAGTTTTAGGACTCCCAGAGATTATCCACAAATGGAGTAAAAAAATTTTTTTAAAAAACATGAAAAGACAGCGTACAATATACCCCAAGAGCACAGTGGCAACTCATCCAGGTCACAAAAGGAACCCAGGACAGCATCTGAAAACTGCAGGCCTCCCTCGTCTCAGTTTAGTTCATGACTCGAAAATGAAATCCATTCTATCGACTGATGAGACGGAAGGTGAACTTTTTGGAAGGTGTTTCATTACTCCTGGCATTTCGGAAAAAGAACATCATACCACCAGACAAACATGGTGGGAGTCGTGAGATGGTCTGCGACTGCCTCGTGACTGCAATCCGAAGCAAAACAACAAGGCAACTTTGGAATGGCTTGAAAAAAATAAACAAAATGAAGATTTTGGAGTGCCCAATCCAATTATTGAAACTTTGTGGGATGACCTTTAAAAAGGCAGTTCATGCTCCAAAACACTCGAGTGTTGCTGAATAAAAACAATTCTGCAAAAACAAAACAAAAGCAAAAACAATAAAACATAAAGAGCAGCCGCACAAATCTTCACAGAGAAGCGAAACACCTGTTTCATTGCCAAGTATACATACCTCTTGATGTCAGTTGTTGCTGCTGATTGAGGCTCAACCGGTTGTTGGGTTTAAGGAACAAGTATTGCTTTTTTCCCCACACAGGGACTAGTAGCTGAGAATGTTTTTTTTTTCTTTGATTAAAAAAATATCACCATTTAAAAATGCATTTTATGTTTACTTGGGTGATCTTTGATTTTTGCATTTTCTGCTGATCTTAAACATTGAAGTGGGGAAACTATGCAAAGAGGGCATTTTCCACTACATTGTGTGTGTAAAAAGGTAAAGCGGTTCTTTGGAATAGGCGGCACGGTGTCGACTGGTTAGCACGTACGCTTCACAGTGCACAGGTGTAGGGTTCGTCTCCGGCCTTCCGTCTATGTGTGCCCTTGCTATTGACTGGCAACCAACTCGCCTCCTGCCCGAAGACTGCTGGGATAGGCTCCAGCACACCCGTGTGTGACCCTTGTAAGGAGAAACGGATTAGAAAATGGATAGATGGGTTCTTTGTAAGTAAACACATTTGCTGTGAGAGACAGGGAAAAAAAACAAGTCCAAAAGAATGAAACTCCAGCTTTACCCGTGCTTATGACTCAGCAGCACACTCTAGTGGTCACTCGCTTGCTCAACAGCTCACAAAAAAATTACTACTTCCTCCTTCTCGATGTAAAGTAGTTTGAGCAAGAAATGTAAAATGTTTATAATAAAAGAGCTGCTTTTATTACCTGTGGCATTATACAAATTCTATTGCTTAAAATGCAGCGTATCACTACTACAGTAGTACCGGTACTGCTAGTGGCAGATATCAACTCGTGCACAGTTGAGCTCCACTAGAAAACTGGTTTTATTAGTTTGTCAGTGTTGTCCCACTGTTGTGAAACTAATAAAACACAGCTGTTCTACTAGTGCACTTTAGTCGTAGTACAACTCAATTGTCTTACTGCTGAGGCCAAAGGGCATACTAGTACAGGATCTTCAGCTAGAAATACAGTAAAGGTCCGATATCTACTCATCTGTAAATGGGCAATCGTCTCATTTTAACATACATAGATCCAATTAACATTACACATCTTATGATGAAGAAGGACTCCTTTATGAACTCAAAGCATAAATGAATAAATTATAAAATACGTGAGTCAAACCAAGACATCAAACAGCAAACGCACTCCGTTGTTGCATTGAGATTAGCATAATATGGCTACAGTGGTCGAGCTAACAGTCTGAGGGCTAATAGGCAAATACAAACAAATTATACTTTGACATCAAACCCTGGAAGAAATATTTTGATGCACAACCGATTTATTTATTGTAGAAGCAAAAAGGTAGATGTTACAGCCAGTAAAAAGGAAGAAAGGCTGTTTGAGTCACTCGTGATACATGCTAATGATGTTGATGTCTACAGTTGTTAGTGTCTCCACATGAGGAACACACACACACAAACACACAAACAATTTCCTGCTTGTTTAAATGACTAAAAATGAATTAACTTTGAGATTTTATTTATTTATTTATTTTAAATAATATGTGCTGGATAATTGCTGGGAGCATGGGCCCCTGTTAAAATACAAGAAACCTTCATTGGTCCCACTGTGGTCTACCATATTAGCATGAGCGTAAGGCCCCGTAAACTCTTGGAATCGCCACATGCTTCTCCTTTTGGTTTGGTTCTGTCAAATATCTGATGATTATAAGTGCGGTATTGACAAAAATGTCAGATTTTGTTTGTTTGTGTGTTTGTCAAGGTGACAGGATGCTACATTTAGCCGCTGGGGGGGTCCTGTTAAAGCATTGGTGTTAAAATCAGAGCCCTTGATAACGAGAACGTTCACAATTTGTACAAGGTGTTGAAAACCACCAAATACAGTGTCGTTACGAATAAGAAGTGGTGGTCTACATCTACCTGCCCGAGCCACTGGGCAATTTGCCATCATTACACAGAGAGAGAAACAATATTTTTTTGGGCAATTTGGCAGCTTTACAGACAAACAGAAAATTTTCTTGATAATCAGACACTGAAAACTCCCAGTAGTAGTACTTTTTTAAATCAGGTGCATCCGCATGTGCCTCTGTACACATAACGAACTGCTCTCATGTGATACATTAAAAAAAAAGAAGAAAAAAAAGAAGTAAGCCTCCAAGCTAGCAAAACTGAGAGGAAAAAAAACAAATATTTTTAGAAAGCTTCTTTGGAAAAGGGAAATGGCCAAATGATCACAGAAGAGGAGCCAACAACTTCTCAGAAAAAGACTGTGGTGTTCTAGCGCCAATTTAAGATGATGATTGTGGCGAAAAAGACTGTGGTGTTCTAGCGCCAATTTAAGATGGCCTACTTAAAATACGGGTATTGGTGATTGTGGCAACAAGCTCGCAAATGAGGCAGTGAAGCCTTCAAAATTCCCCCACAAAAAAGCACTTGACAAAATGAAATCAAATTAATTCAACACAACATTCAGGACCCAAAAGGTTTGAGAGCCCCTGCTCGAGGGAATAGAACTTTTTCAAGTGTCATCTCACAATGTTGATGACCGTCATTTCGCACGTACGGTAGATACTTCACTTCATATGGCCTCGCCTTTCGCCGACACAATTGTCGCCCTCACCTTGACTTAATTCACAGCGCAAAAGAAGACGTGGCTAACCCGTAGGTGACAATTGTGCCACACTCTTGCGCTGAGGCGCTGGTTCTCAATCGAAGTTGTTATTGTGCTGTACAAGTACACTGAGGACAGTGGAAGCAATCAAAAAGTCTTCCGGATCTGCCAATTTCCCCTCTTGTTATCACAATTCACAAATTCACCTATTTCAGTTTTTTTTCCTGAAAACCTATCCCCAACTATTCACTGAAAAATTTACTGTTTGCATTTTTGTGCCGTCTTAAACACCCTAAGACGCTGCCAAAACCCTGTCTAAATAGAAAAATGGGCAATGAAGTATGACTAAATGATATGAGATGACATTTCTTTTTATAGGTCATGTAAAACGAGTTTGAAATGATACTGAAGTGCTCCGGGATGATAGTTTTTTGTTGTATTTACGGTTTACACCATTAATATACTGCAGGCATTTATTTAAAACAAAAATTGGAGAAGGAAAGTGTTGTTTTAAGACTGTTGGTTTTAGCCAGCTAGCCTGACCACAGCGCTACTTGAAGGTCGAAACTTATTTCCTGAGTTTCTCCTTTGGGTTGGTTGCTCTTGATACGAACCGCGACTGAAGGTGTCATTTGATGCTTGCCATTTGTTACTAATAGTTGCTGAGCCTTCGCCATCTCAGTAAAAAAAAATAAAAAAATCTTACATTTTAAATTATCTGTGTTTTTAAATGTCATCCAGACGTTTGTTTTATTGGGTTCCATAAAGAGTGAAAATCTGCACATATTTGGTGCCTCTGAAAAGCCCCCCCCCCCAAGATGGTGGCAAAGCACGACTTTTTTTTTCTAAATGAAGCTCCTCAGCTTTCTTCAACATAGTTTCTTGGCATCAAAATGCCACAAGATGGCGCATATTGCTTTGACCTGAGCACAAAAACACCAAATGTGTTTGAGTTTTATAGGAAATAACGCCGACTATGTCAGGAAGAATGTACAGTGTTGATATTTATCTTATTTGTATCTATGTACCTCTGATATTAATCATGGCGACTGGACAATTTGTGGCTAATGAGTACATTTAGCAACTTACAATGCAGTTTTCCAGGCCGGGTGTTTTATCCTTTTGGGGCAATTAAAATAAATAATTTGGTGAAGCATGAAAATGCATGCGTGAGAATCACTTTACAAAAGTTGCAAAAAATATTTAAACACATTTCCAAATTTGTTGCTAGGGGCTTTTTTTTTTTTTTTTAAAGAAAATTGCTCTGATGGCCTGTTTTGACATGACAGATTTTTTATTTGACGTGACCTAGATTGTGGTTGCTGTGCTAGGAAAGTTTGCAAAACACCAATATGCCTTGTTCCTGAATGTTTCTTAGCCATGGTATGAGTGACTTAAAAAGGACGCTTTGCTCTGTGCTTGTGTCTAATAACTTCAACTTGAAAATAATCAGTTTGTTCTGGGGTTCAGTCAAAATTAAAACTACGCCATTGTGTTACCACAACATGGATGGAGAGTCGTTCGATAAGATCCCCATTTCACCAGGATGAGTTTTAGTCCGTAAACTCCCTCTAGAAAACGGTTCTCTCTCTTGAGTTTCACTCTACAAAAAAAGTGTGGAAAGTACCTAAAAACCTTCACAGTTTGTGTTCAACTCAAGCAGAGGAAAGGTCCAAAATAGCTGTCCTATGAGATCTGGCTGATACCCGACTGTCGCCTGTTGGCGTCGGCGTTCCTCTCTGATTGGTATTTAGAAAGGTCACATGGCACCAGGGGCAAGGGCTGCCCCTGCTCGCCAATCACCGCCTCGTACGGCGGCGCAGCCTCCAACGGGAAGGAGATGGATGCGATGTGTCGATGCTCCGGGGGCGGCGAGGCTGCGCTGGCAGAACTGGGACCCTCCTCTGCCCCTTCGGAGTTGTTCTGATGGGGGTCCCATAGCGAGTAAGGCGGGGGGTCGTCTGTGGGTATGTAGATGTGGGTGTAACCGGGGCCCACGCATTCATCGTAACTGCAGAGAGAAAGAAGAAGAATCTTAGTGAACCCTCGTTAAACAGTGGTGGCGGACGTTTGTGGCCTTATTTTTCAAAGTTTGTCAAATTCACTGTATTGAAATGGATTGATGAAGGATTTCCTTGGACAGCCTTGATTTGCGATGAAATAACGGTATTGCGGTCAGAGGGAGGGACCTGTGCCATGCTTTGGTTGCCGAGTTGGAGGGGGCATGCGCCTTTACCATTCAACATATGGTATGTGCGCGCGTGTGTCTGTGTGTGTCGGAAGTGTAACATTAACACTCTCAGTAGGTGTGCTTTTTCTTTCAGCCATGTGTAATATACACACACGCGCGCACACGCACACACACACACACACACACCCACACTTTATTGTTCTTTTCCTTTGTGCGTGCTCTTGTTTCTTTTTTATGTTATCTTTACACACACACACACACACACACACACACACACAAACATGGAAGCAGGAAGAAGGGTGTATTTGAATTATTAAAGTTGCCAATTAAACCAGATGACATTTAGATCAAACACACCATGACCTGGCCTTTTTAGACACACACACACACACACACACACACACACACACACACACACACACACACACACACACACACACACACATATATAGACGCATCCAAAGGGCAGCAAAAGCGGAAGCATTACTTTCTCCTAAATGAACCAGCACAAAGGAGGTCAGTCAGTGCAGGCGGACACTTTGATATTTGACGTAAATGGCAAAAGGAGGAGCTTGCACTGTAACTCACTGCATTAATGACAATTTTAAAAAAGTACATATGTAATTATAATCATGCACAAATAAATGACAAAAAAAAAAAAGACGCTCACCGTGGTGGAGAATCGGGGTACAGGTGGTTGACTTGTGACAGACTGTAAGAGTCAAAGTCCAAACTGGGTGGAAAGTCTTCTAAGCACGTTGACCTCAGTTCTCCGACGGAACCTCCAAAGGAGTAACCATCTGGACCTACAGCGGCACATTCATATTCAGGTTTCAAGCCCAAGTTAGATTTTTAAAGTGAAATTTCAAACCGGTTTACAAGTTCAAACAAGTTCAAATGACAGTCAAGAGTTTCAAGTTCGGGTTTGAATTGAGTATTTTGTCAGTACGGACCGTAGCTGGCTCTCAGGTGAGGGTTCCTCAGCCGGCTGTCTTTGCGCAGGCTGCCCACGATGATGGTGACGCAGGAGAGGAAAAGCACTAGGCCTATGACGATACCCGCCACCACCAGCGGAGACACCAGGAGAGACGCCTCGCCCCCAGTCTCGCGCTCACTCCTGCAGTCCGGGTACTCCCCATGGCTCTGGTTCAAGCTCACTGCCGGGGTGGAGGGAGAACCTTGTTGAGTTGAATTCAATTGAGTGCATGAAATGCAACCATTTTCCCTTTATGTGCATTGACGATTCAAATGGGCTTAGGGCCATTGGTGTTGTCGTGGTTCACATAGCTGACTCATAAATCCAGCTTGAGATTGCCAAAGTTCCTGTATGAGGCTAAATGAGGTTTGAAATTGTCTTTGTTTCCATAAATATGTTTGCTGTGGCCATCGGTCATGTAGTGGTTCACAGAGTTGACTTTGGTGGAGCTGGAACAGCATTGCTAGAGTTAGCCTGTTTTCCCTTTGGGTTGATCGAACACTCTAAATTGTTTCAATGCTTACAAAAATAGATATATTGAGGTGCTTTTACCATTAGTAGTGTAGTGGTTCACTCAGCTGACCCATGAAACTTGCCTGAGCTCACTGCAGCTCGTGTTTTTACATGAATGGAGTCTTGAAATTGTCTTTGTTCATGTATACAATGCGCTAATTGGTCATGTCATGGGTCACTTTCATGTAGATGGTATGGGACCTGTGAATGCGTCCCCAATGCTTTTTGTTGACATAATATGTTAACATGCTGCAGTGCGAGCAGCGCGGAATCCAAAGCTGCGTGCCAAGCAGGGTGGTTTGAGGAAAGACACAGAGAGAGCGAGAGAGAGAGCGAGAGAGAGCAGTGTGGCAGGATGTCATGTTACGTAACAGCTTTATTCTCCCGCACACACTATCGCGCACACTACAGACTCCTAATTCTCCCTCCTCCTGCCTTGCCATCTTTCCGAGCCTCATCATCCCCCCCGGGGACTTACTCCACTTCAGCGTGTGACAGATAATTAGAGCTGCACTTTACACGCTAGACACACCACGCACACACAACACACATGTTGTATCCTTCTCAGTCGTTTAACGTCTTATAGCCGCCTTTTCTTTTTTTTTTTTCCCTGGGCTTGTCTGTTTTCGTTTTCATTCTCCGTGCAGCGCCGTCACTTTCTCCTTGGGGTGTGCGCTCGTGCTAAATGCTAATATTTGTAGCACTTAGTTCAACATGTGCTCATGTTAACGTCGCGTGTGATGTGTTATGCTTCTCACTACTGTAGGGGTTACTCTACCTACTACGATAGTAGTACAGTATCCCAGTATACTGGTTATGCTGTGATACATGGGGGTATTTTTTTTTTTCTCACTAATCTGCAGATGAGGATTTAAATTACGCTTTTTGTGTCTGCGTGATTGATGATGTTGCCTCCCAGTGGCATAGTTGGGCCGCAGTGAATCAATCATGACACGCAATTGTTTAATTCATTCCGTTCTATTTGATTGATTTGATTTGACATTTTATTTTTTTTATGTGTACAATATTAAAAACCGCAGTCTTCCTGATTAAAATAACACTGCAAAAACGAAAAACATCAAGATGAGAATAAGTGTTCTTAAAATAAATCCATCTGCATTTTAAAATATGGTACTATCTATCTACATGTTTTTTTTCTAACCATAAACATAGATTGAAAATGTTCATCTGTTTTGGTGAACGAAACCCAAGCTCATGATGACAGTAAGGATGGGATGAAAACGTCAAATGAAGAGCAAATGACGCGACACGAGGATGCCTCCGAGCGCTCATCTGGCGTCTCGGAGAACAACGTCTCGGGAACGCTTTGCGGCGAGAGAACATTTCGCTCATGTGGGAATTGCTGTGAAAGCAACACGACGGCAGACAACACAATTACCCACACTGAGACGAGACACCGGAGACAAAGTCCTATCACGCGCTTGGAAATTCGATCAGAATTGTTTTATACCCGGCATAGAGAAATAATAAGACAAAGATATTAAAAAAATATATATAAATAAATAAGATATTTTGAAAGAGCAAGAACCATGCATAAGACATAAATATTGTTTGTGATTCTATCAAGCCTTATGTGTATAAAGTCACCCTTTTTTTTTCACAAAACAACAAATCTCACAATAATTTTGCGAAAAATGTAAATTACAAAATGAAGCTGCAGCTTTGCCTTTCTGTAGGTGTAAAAATCAGGATTAAAGAGAATATGACATGGAGTTCATTTTGATCAAAAACTAGACTGAGTTTGAAATACTGCCTATTTTCACTCTTCTTTAAAATGTACACACTGTAAAGCGGGCATTTAAAGCATTGTCTTGCATCTAGTTTATTTTTCTACTTCGTTCATGTAAGGATCCATTATGACTACTGCTCATACGCATGCGTGTCCATACTGCGTGTCTTGGAGCTCATTCACTGCCAGCCAGTTTTTAAAGTGGAGTTCCCCACATTGCCAGCCTTTTTAGAGCATGCTGGCTATTCTTTCAAAACTCACAGAATATTGTGTTGAGTGACAATCTAAGCACCAAAAGAAACGGTAGACTTGATGTGGTTTGTATGTTTTCTTTTGTGAAAAGAAAACACGTCAAGCAAAACGCTGCTGAGTGATGAGATTTTTGATTTTTATTTCTTTATTTATTCTTTAACTTGGGCGGCAACTCAAGAGGTGGAAGCCTGATCAGCAGGGAGCTTCAGTGACAAGCTGTCACAGTCACTTAGTCGTCTTGTTCCTTCAGAACAAGTCAGCGCCTCGCACTTGCACACTCAGGGGCAAACCTACCCGCTATGTTCTGCCGGACAGTAGTTGAAACAACTTCGATAATTGTGAGAGGCGGACTGGGCAACGTTACAAAGGGTGAAGGTTGGGTTGTGTTCGGAATCTTCTTCTTCTTCTCCTTTCGGCACGTCCCTATTCAGGGGTCGCCACAGCGAGCCAGTAATTTCCATCCGCCCCCGTAAACCGACCTACCAACTCGCATGGTCGTCTTGGCAAAAGTTTTACGCCGGATGCAATTCCTGACGCAACCCTCCCCATTTCTCCGGGCTTGGGACCGGCACTGGGGAACAGTGTGAGAGGCGGACTGGGCACTGCCCCCCAGCGGCTGGGTTGGGTTGTGTTCGGAATACCAGTGGAAAATGCAGATGACACGGACTCACTGCAAGGCAACGAGGTGGTATACACGGTAGATGACTGCGCATTCCGCGAGGCTCCCCGCAATAGCCGCATGTATTATGGACGAGCGTCAAGCGCATTGCCGGCATTTGCTGCGACACGTTTTGTCATTGTGAGTTATCAGCACCTTTTCGCCCATGTGAGGAGGTGAGGCCGAATCTTCCTGGCACCGAATTAAAAAAAATATATAAAAATCAACCAAGCAGTCGGCTGAAAAGTAAGAAATAAATAAATTGATAAAAAGTACTATTCTACATATTTTTAATTATAATTGCTGTATTTATATATTCGTCTAATCATTTATTTTTAAATTTGCAGGGTTAGGGATGGGGTTAGGTTATGTTTACGTGTGAGGTGAACTTCGGCGCAGAGGGGTTCCGCTTTGGTTCTGTTTGGGTTTGGTCTTCCCTCATAGGGCCATTACGACAGTGAAACCGAATAAATGTTTCATCATCACATCGTACTATTAATTGTACACAACAAATCAAAATGATGGATTACTAGTTTTGAAATCAGTCAACTGTTTGTTTGTTCAATTGTTGTTCAAAATGACGTGGTGGACCGGATCTGGCCCCCGGGCCTTGAGTTTGACACCTGTGGTGTAGGGTATGCAGGATTATGGATGGGGTTGGGTTATGTTCACATTAGTTTAAGTTTTTTGGGTTTAAATGCGGAGAGGGTAAGGTTGGTTGATACTTTAAGAGAGAAACTTTAAGAAACATTTTAATGGTTAGCTTTAGCATTTTAGGGTCAAATCAAATCAAGAATTTTGTCCATCGCCTCCACCCACACCCCCACCCCCAAAAAGCTTCTAGCTTCCCTCTCTGGCGTCCAACCAATTGTACGCATCATGTTCGTGCCGGTCCGCCTTCCCTGACAACATGTGCTGTCTCCAGCTAGTTGGCAAGCTAAAAGGGCGTCGTGGGAAAACGGCAGGGCTCTCGAAGGGGCGAAAGGGGGGGGACACAAATGGAGGGAGGTGACTTGGAACGGCTGAATAATAAAAGGGAGGGTGGTGGAAGGAGAAATGAAGGGTAAATGTCAACTCAAAACAGACAGATCAGCTGCTGACAGTACTGCAGTTCTACCGTTTTTGCTGACGTCCGGAGCGCTAATGCGTGTTTGTGTGTTGAGAACAGACTGATGTTACGGCGCTGCGTTAACGCGATTAAACGCGGCCCCTTTCCTCTATTTGATCATCTTCCCCGCCGCTTTCTGGACACTCGTTATCGCCTACGTAATGCTTCTGAGAAAAGCGGGACAGAGGGATGAGCAAAGCGGGGAATAACAAATCAAGATACGGCACATCCAGCATATAAAAGAGAACAAGACGGAGTAGGGAGAAATCTAATTTAAAGTGGGAGAGTAGGTTTTTTCTGTTGTCATTTGGACCCCTGCAGATTGTGTGTTGTAAATAAGAGTGAGGGCTTTGTGTGGCTATTTTGCTCATTCATAGCCAGTTACTCCCCAATGTAGGCATTTTCCAATAGCGACTATAGCTAACGTGTTACTTTTTCCAGTCAGGTAATCAGACCACAGTTACTTTTCAAGCAAGAAATGTTACATTTCCTCCAAAGCGCTTTGTTACAGCTGTAACTGTTGTGTAAGCGCTATGTAAATCTATTGTCTTGTTACAATGTTGAATATATTTACTTCTATTTGAAAGTCAGCATATAAAAGAGAACAAGACGGAGTAGGGAGAAATCTAATTTAAAGTGGGAGAGTAGTTTTTTTTTTTTCTGTTGTCATTTGGACCCCTGCAGATTGTGTGTTGTAAATAAGAGTGAGGGCTTTGTGTGGCTATTTTGCTCATTCATAGCCAGTTACTCCCCAATGTAGGCATTTTCCAATAGCGACTATAGCTAACGTGTTACTTTTTCCAGTCAGGTAATCAGACCACAGTTACTTTTCAAGCAAGAAATGTTACATTTCCTCCAAAGCGCTTTGTTACAGCCGTAACTGTTGTGTAAGCGCTATGTAAATGTATTGTCTTGTTACAATGTCGAATATATTTACTTGTATTTGAAAGTGACATGACTATCACAGCGGAACAATTTAAAAAAATAGATGTCTAGATTTTTATGCTGAGTAAAACTAAAATTGGCGTGCTGACTCCAAAATTGCAGTGGTTTTTTTTTCTCCTAACATGTCAATTTTTTCCCTCCAGACAAGAAGAATTATAAATGCGGAGTTTTGCCATCACAACATTAATAGTTAAATATGTCAAGTAAAAAAAAAACATTTACTTTAGATTTTCTTTTTAAAATATGTGTGTTAAATGAAATAAAGTCTTTAAGCTTTTTAAAGTAGCAGTCCATTTATGTTGTATTGAAAATATTTTTTTTTTCCTATATTTTAATCAAAAACTGTTCGTAACTAACCCGAATATTCCCAGCTTGCTCACAGAAACAAATTAAACTCGTAAACTAAGGTACCACTGGAAGTGCCCTCATTCAATTAATAACGAAATATAATATATTTTTATTTTTATTTTCTTGATTTAACTTCCGATTAATTGGTGAGTGGATTTTATTATGCCAAATGTTACAATTGGAATCGGCTTCAAAGAGTCAACTTTTACAGTCCCTTGCACAGTGCCAAACAGTTGGCGGCCGTCGTGATCAGCTGCAGTATTCTTTAATTGCCAGCGGGGGTGGTAGCGAGCAAGGCGGAACGGCCTTCCACTGATCAAGTTCTTAATCGACCAGTCGTGGACGGATTTAAAGCAGTGCAGCCAATCTGGCTTCAATTCTTGTGACCATTCGACCTCGTCCGACCAAGCCGGACGATGTTTATGGATCGATCGGAGCGGGATTTCCGCCCATATTCTGTGGGTGTGGAAAGATCCATGGATGGATTAATCGGCTGGCTGATTTATTCGGTCAATACTAGCAGTTTTGAAATTGTTAAAAATTGACATTTTTGACAAGCTGGTTTTTGCGGATTTTTATTTCTCACACACTAATACATTACAACTTAAGACAAAGACAATGACGTTTAAACATTCCCCACAGTGGTCAATGCTAGCAGTTTTGAAATTGTTAAAAATTAGCCTTTTTCACAGGCTGTTTTTTTGCAGATTTTTATTTTTCGCACACTAATACATTACAACTTAAGACAAAGATAATGACGTTTAAACATTCCCCACAGTTTTTTTTTCTCCCTGTTGTAAGGTTTATTAAATACTAAAAGCAAAAATAAAACAGTCAAAGGATCTATCTGCAATTCCTATCTTTATTGGGGACCAGGACACAATATATTACATATATTTTTATTTTTATTTTCTTGATTTAACTTCCGATTAATCGGTGATTGGATTTTATTATGCCAAATGTTACAATTGGAATGGGCTTCAAAGAGTCAACTTTTACAGTCCCAAACAGTTGGCGGCCGTCGTGATCAGCTGCAGTATTCTTTAATTGCCAGCGGGGGTGGTAGCGAGCAAGGCGGAACGGCCTTGCTATTCTGAAACCTCCTCACAAACACGCACACGGCTCATATCCATTTAGATAGATGTACGCTAGCCAACCTTATAGATGCAGACGCTCAGATGGCCATAGCGAGCCCAAAAAAAAAAGCGCTGTTAAAAGCACTTTTTTTTTTTTGTCCATGGCCATTTCTATAGTGCGCGGCGATGCGGTGTTTGATAGCTGGCTGGAGGCGAGGCGAGGCGAGGCGTGGCGGCACGGCGCTGATGGATAAATGATGTGTGCAGCCAGGGGGAACACACGCAGATTCCATTTCAGATCTGCCTGCATCACAGCAGTGCACCCCCACACCCGCCGTATGTAGATTGGTTTGAGCCTTTATCTTCTTGCCACTGATAGCACACTCATACATGACAACAATTAGATCGCAAGAATGTACAGTGAAAATAGCAATGTGACAAGATTTCCCAATTTATCTTATCTCGCACCAAGAATTTTGAAAATCAGATGATGGGGTTCAGGAGAAATTCCCTTTTGGGGATTTTTCTCATGTTAAATGGATGCCTTGTTGGGTTTGTATTCAAATCAACATTGCATTGACATGGTCATTAAATGCTGTTAAGTAGTGTAAACACGTTGCTCTTTCACCACAAAGCAGCGTCACGCTGAATGTCAACCTTGGCCATTGGAAGTGTCTTATCGTCTCCCAGCAAGCCATCCCTGAGCTTTTTATCCATCTCTTGGCCTGGCTCCCTTTGGGGAAGCATCCCACCGCAGGTGCCGGGGTGGGATGGGCGGGGTGGTGTTGAGGGGATTCGCATAAAGAGTCAGCCGGGGATGTGAATAATAGATCAGAGAAGGAAGGGAAGAAGGGCGAGGTAGCGAGCGAAAGAAGAGAAAGCGATTTAAAGGGCACGAAGGAAGGGCGGGACGTGTCCGTCAGTCGGTCCGTTGGTCCCCCCCCCGTCTCCCAGACGCCTCCGCCGTGGTCAGGACGTGTTGCATAAGCGAGAGAAAGCGATTTAAAGGGCACGAAGGAAGGGCGGGACGTGTCCGTCAATCGGTCCGTTGGTCCCCCCCCGTCTCCCAGACGCCTCTGCCGTGGTCAGGACGTGTTGCATAAGCACACGATTCATCTTTTATTGAGGTGTCTATAAATACTGTCTGCTTTTCTCTTGGGCTGAAAAGCTCAACCTCTAATCCGGATGTAAATAAAGGGACAAGTTAGCCACTACACAAACCACTTATATTTCCTTCAAAACAAATACATATTCCCGCTACTGGGGGGTAATCCATTCTTTTGATCGCCATAAAAGAGACATGCAGTAAACCCCCACAATTACAAATTACCACACATCTATCTATCAATCTATCTCAATAGACAGATATGTGTGTGTATGTATATGTGCTATTTTCAAATATATATTTTGAAATAAAACACACGACAAACATTTTTGTGATTTTTTTTTTGTGGGGAGGCTGGAACCGATTAATGGCATTTACATTCTTTTAAATGGTGGAAGACGATTTGAGATACAAGTGTTTTAAGATTGTTAAGGTATGATGAGGTCATGGAATGTATTAAACTTAAGCACATTTTAATTGTACCAGAACACAAACAAAAACCAATAAATAAGCGTGCTTGGTTAAAAATCTATCTACATGACATTGGGGAACCAGTGCAATACTGTATTTAAAAGCAGATCATAGCCATTAATGCTATCTCTGCTAATGCTATCAATCTCATTTTTATGCTTCCATCGGTGCTCCTGTTTGGAGTAGCAACGCAGCTCTTGTAACATGATGGACACTGTCTCAAGACGCTAGCTTTGGAACACGATGTGGGTTAACTGACTGCTCAAAATTCTGTCGATTATGTGGAACTTATTGTCGATTTATCACATGTCGAAGCAATCAATTCAAAATGACTACTAATCTACTTCAGTGCAACTTGTGTTGAGTCAATAAAAAAAGAAATAAATATGAACAACATGACATCAGCTATGACCCAGATCCCCTGAGAAGCATTTTTTTGGTCATTACTGACACTGGAGAATTCAGAGTATTCAGGGGAAAATATTTTCAAGATAACAAAGCATTAATTTTCCACCGCGGGGTATGTGTATGACATGAATGGAATTTCCTTCTTCACACAGCCAGGAAATCAATTTGAATGATGAGAAGGGCCCAATGCATCATCGCTCATTTGTAACTCTTGCGACGCGAACTTTCTATTTTAATACAAATATGAGGCCGGATGTAAGAAACAACACGAAAGCCCTCAATTATGGTCTTAACAGCGAGATAAAAATATTATGTGTCCCACTTGGAAACAAAAGCAACAAGATGAAAGTAGATTTGTTAGTTCCTTGTACTTCTTATTCACAAAATGTACTACTGTACTTCTACTTCGACTAGATTCATTATAATAAATATATATATATATATATAATATCTACATGTGAAAGTGAATTTTTATTAACTCCAAAAATATGTGAGAAATGAATCAACATTCATGATACTGCATGAATAAATGAAAAAAATATATCCAATGTGTTTCAATTAAAATAAAAAAAAATAAAAAAAACATTGCATTACTTGCATCATAAAGCTTTGGTGAATGATTAATGAAAGTGATCATAAAAGTAGTAATAATAGCCATGACATGAAAACAATATATATTTTACCTTGTTTACGTGTTATTTAATTACAAAATCAGTGGTTGATTTTTAACCCGTTCATGCACCCTGTAACCTAATAACATGAAAAAGAAAATCGACACAATTCCAAACCCAACGTTTCAACACCGCAAATATTTAAAACACTGTCAGCCGGTGATCCTTTGAAAAGTACTTTCTTCAATATGAAAGTTCTCGTTTTCATAATCTCACCTCATCTACATGATCCAATTATTAGCATACCCCCTCATTCATTTTCACACTTCTCTGCTCATTTTTGTCGACGTCGTTTTTCCAAATATGACCCAATAACCCGGTTTGAAATCTTCATCCATCAAGTCTCACTCACCACCAAACATGTTTTGAGTCGTCATCCGAATAGGGACTGTCTTATTATTCTTTTTTTCTGCTCTGAACACTTTGTTAGATGCACGACTTCAAGATGTAAACATTTCAATTCCAGCGAGACGCCACTATAACGCGTTGACGGTTCCAAATGACGGACCGAAATCGCATTCGTTTTCCCTTACCTGAGCAGATCAATTTCATCAGCATGAACTCGTGTTCACAGTGCTTCCTCCCGGCGCATCTCAACAGGCAGGAAGCCAACTTCAGCTGCTCGCCGACACACGCCAATGCTGCTAGGGTTCCGATTGCCGTGAACGCCGCTGCCCAGGGGAGGATGGAGGGAGCAAACGATTGGTGGCAGTCAAATGTGTGAGAGAGAGAGAGAGAGAGAAAGAGAGAGAGAGAGAGCAAGAGCGAGAAAGAAGGTAAGGCAAAACATAAAAACAATCAACACAGAGCACGTAGATGGACAAACATGATGGCAGGAAGTGAAGGAGTGAAGAAGGCGTGCGGCATCCCAGCCTGCTGTTTATAAAGCCTCAGGCACTGTGAATGTGTGTCCATGTGTGTGTGTGTGTGTGTGTGTGTGTGTGTGTGTGTGTGTGTGCAAGCGGAGTTGTGCATGCTCTTGTCTTTGTATGCTAGTGCAGCACAATTCGTGACTTTTAATGTGAGAATTGCAGAGTAGCTCACAATACACGACAGTAGATTTCACGGTAAAATATACACGGGCGCCTTCAGATGGATTTATCTCAAATCATCTTTCCCAATGGAAATGAATGGAAATGACATTAATATGTTCCAGTCCGTCTCGTCGCCCCCCACAAAAAATCGTCAAAAATGTATTTTCTTTAATAATATATTTTTATATCATTAAATAGAATGTAAAGACAGCGGCATGGTGTTGACTGTTTAGTACGTCCGCCACACAGTGCAAAGGCCATGGGTTCGATTCCTGGCCCTAGCATTCCTGTGCAATACCTATTGTATGTAACAAAAGAAAAAAAAAACGATATTATTGCTAAATCAGTCATATCAGGACACAGAGATTGTGTCGTAGTCCCTAAATTGTAAGAAAGCCTCTACAAGATCGAGAACCTGTACGTAAATGAACAAACAGTGCAATATCATTGTGGTACCACTACAAAATATTGAGAATTGAAAATAAAAGGTCACCAAAGTTATATCATATTCAACGATATAATACATTATGCTATCGACGTGTGTGTGTGTGTGTGAGTGTGAGTGTGAGAGAGAGAGAGAGAGAGAGAGAGAGAGAGAGAGACCCTTGTGGATGCAAATGTGTCTTCATTGCATTCTGGAGAAACATGGCCACAGGCTTTAACCGTTCCAATCAATCAGAGTAGCGCGTACACACGGCACGGAGACAAGTCATGGATTTCACAAACAGTCGAGAGCTTTTACATGAACATGGAGACGTTCTTGGTAGCAAGTCTTGACAGCAGGAAGAAGTACAGTTTTCCAGTTACCCAAATGGGGACCGGATCAACAGAACAAACGGCGTCATTGTTAATTGCAAGTCACTCCAGTCGACATGCTTAGAGGTCAAACGCTACACGCATTTGATTCACATTAAAAAATAAACAAATAAATGAATACTCCTTGGAATTTCTTCCTCATCTCGTAGAATTTGCCTCCCTTGGCCAACTGCCTCTGGGAATCTTGATGGCAGGCTGCTTTAGTTTTACAGAATGCTGAAGGTATTTTTCCATTGAGTATTTCGCTCAGAGGATGTGCCTTGGCTGTGTTGGACAAAAGCATCGGGACACGTTTTACCTACCAGGAAGGCCATATCTGGAGCAAGGAATTTGGAGTGTTGTCGCTGAAAGATTTAGAAAATTCAGCCCCCCCAGAGTCTGTTCCTCTTGCGTGGGTTTTCTCCAGGTACTGGAGTGTGATTGAAAACATAGTACTACTACTACTAATAATAACAATAAAAGGGTGGCACGGTGGATAACTGGTTAGCACGTCCACCTCACAGCGGAGAGGTGCAGAGTTCGATTCCCGCTCCGGCCTCCCTGTGCGGAGTTTGCATGTTCTCCCCGTGCCTGTGTGGGTTTTCTCCGGGTACTCCGGTTTCTTCCCACATTCCAAAAACATGCGTGGCAGGTTCATGGAACACTCAGAATTATCCCAAGGTGTGATTGTGAGCGTGAGTGTTTGTTCGTCTACGTGTACTCTGCGATTGGCTGGCAACCAGTTCAGAGTGTACCCTGCCTACAGCCCGAAGGCATGTCTATCATACAAAAGTGTCAAAAAAACATATTTAAGAAGACACAAGAAGCCGGCCATTTTGGCTTGAATTGCAGGGTCATTTTCACAGTTCCCACGGTTCCTTTCTGAAACAAACTTCTCCTTCAGTAATATTTTGAAAATTCAGCCATCTTGCTGCCATTTTCACATGAGCAAGAGGAAATTCGTCATCACTCAAAAAGTCTCAAAAAGCCATGCCTGAACCTACACAGGAAGTCTGCCATTTTGAGTTTCCAGCGGCCATTTCAGTGTTGACACTTCTCTTGTTTGCTCCTTAACGCGATCACCGCGACATGTTCCCTTTCTTTTCCATCTCCACGCTCACCCGCATCACAGTGATGCGATGAGCCGTCATGTTGTGTTTCCTCTTGCGTAGAAAGCACTGTCCGTGCGTCCCAGTGTGGCACAGTGTGGACAGGTGCATTATGTGTGTGTGTGTGTGTGTGTGTGTGTGTGTGTGTGTGTGTGAGAGAGGGTGAGACATGCATTCTGCTTCCTTATTACATAACCGTCGCAGCTAACACTGACACATATTACAGACAACACACTTTGGCAGTGACACCTAAATTTGTATGCGCGCATCCATATGTGTGTGTATTTGTATGCGGGGCCTGCGTGACATTTCTGGATTTCCAAGTTTAACAATGCAAATCAAATCTTTGTTGCTCCACAGAGCTCAAATCTCCCAGGAATTATAGTCCCTAAAATTATAATAGCGCCGCAGCCCTCTTTATAATGATATTATATAATGTTTGCTTTCAGTGCACGCTGTCTGGTCCACTTTGGGAGAGAGTTTTCTCTGTTGAGGCGAGGACCCGATTGATTCTGACTCGGAATGCCTCATCATGACGTACATTCACACCGATTTTTAATATGTCTTTGCTTTTCTTTTTTTTTTTTTTTTTTTTTTATTCATTTTTTTTCCCTCTCTAGCACATCAGATTTTTAATTTTTTTTTTTTACTTTGACCTATTAAATCTCATACTGTTATTAAATAAACCTTTTACCGTGTGTTCTAATTTATAGTGATGACATTTCAGAAAAAAAAATCCTCACCCTAAATTAATAAATATTCCTCAATATATTACTATATTACATATTGTAAAATTGTTGTTATATTATTATTAATATTATTGTTGTGAAAACATCTCTGGACTCAATGCCAAAGCAAGAGCCTCGATTGATTGTCTCCGCTGCTTGAAGCCACTCTGGTATTTTTCCTCCAGTTAGCCCGCCGATGCTAAAGGATGCAAAAGGAGGAAGGAGCAGACAGGAAAGGACACAAAAGGGGAATCGGGTCCGTCCCGAAGGTGTCACATAACTCCATCATGTGCCCGGTATTCCCGATGTGTGTGCACTTCCTCATCCATCTCCTCCCGGATCACCTTGACAGTCCATTAGGACCACGCATCCCCTCCATCCATTCACAGCGACAGGCCGACTTATCTTCAAAACGGGGACGAAGAGCGGGAAGATGGCGGCGGATGCGCTTAGCCGTGACGGTGAGGGTCCCTGTAGATGAACGCTGGGGAGGTCAGATCACTTTTAATGCAGCCCGGTACCTATTCCTTTTTAATCCTGATCAAATCTATCGAGCTGTCGATGCCACGGTTTGGAAACAGCCAGCGTGAATTTAGGCCTACTCGCTTGCTGACTAAATGGGCTGCCGTAGAAATTTATTGAGAATATTATATTAGCCAACTACACAACTGCAAGATGAACTGAGAGGATCACCTTTCATTTTGTTTTGTTTGTTTGCTGGTTCCAACTTTTTTTTTTTAAAACAGCATTCCATTTAGGCATCAGACTGGATGGGCCTGTCCTGATCTTCGCTTCTGCTTGCAGTCCACATGTACAACAGAATCGGTCGAAGAATTTGGTGGCGTACAGTGCGTTGAATTCACACCCAAAGAATTACTAAATGGGCTGCTTCAGAAATTTTTAAAAATGCCCAAAATGAAACGGAAATGGCTTGTTCAATTTATACTATTTGTTGTTTGTCACGTCATTTTATTCTGCTTTGGAGCAGCAACTCATTTGGATGCAGCACTTGCTGACTAAAAGGGTTACATAAGACATTTTAAAATACCAAATGCAAAGTGGGAAAAAATTGATTTGTTCTCTTTCATTTCATACTTTTTATTATGCTTGCTGTTTCAATTTGACTACATCAAGCTATCTCTTGTTCAACTTGCGGAAAAACAGCTAAATTCAGACCCGCCTAGTCTGTTGACTAAATTTTATTTATTTTTTTTTTATAAATGAAAACTGTAAAACAAAATGGTTCACATTTCATATGACTTGAGGTATTTCATTTGCTGTGACTTTTTTTTCCACAGCAGCAACCCATTCAGTCAGCAAACTGAACGGGCTTCTGTTGTCGCTGGCTCCTTGCATCAATTCAAACTGACCACACAAACACGAGTGTAGCGCCATAATACCTTTAGAAATTCAAACGTCGGGTTTGTAAACGCGAAGGCAGCAGCCCATTTAGGCAGCAAGCCAAACGAGCCTTGGCTTTGACAAACCCGACTGCAACTCATAGCTACGGTGTCTCATTATCGAACAAACTACTTGGCACCAGCCAGCAGCATTTCGAGCATTTTATAGCTAACAGTCGTAAATAAATATTTTTTAAAAAGCCACGTTTGATACCCATCGGCTCTTTTTCGCTGGCTTTGTGACAAAGAGCGAGCGAGTGAACTCTTTGGGATTTGTGTGTCACGCTGACATTTACACTTGAACAGCTCGAAGGCCACTTGGTAAAAGAGATTCCATTTGGCGATGGGGGGCAGGGGGGGCGGGCCCACGCTCTCATACCGACAATGCAAATCCACTTTCAAAGCGCCGGTGATATCCCCACCAAAGTATCCGGCGGCCGTTTCTGCCACGTCCGCAAACGTCAGCGTACTTCGCTGCTCCAACAAGAGAGTTCACAAAGTGTGTGGGAGGAAGAGGAGAGCGGCTGCCTGAGCCAAAAATCACTGCAACACGCCTACGACACGCCAGTACGCGTGTTTGTGTGTAGGTGCGTGTGTATGAGTTTAGTTTCCCCTCATTTCACCATTTTTTTTTACTCCTCTGTTGCATTTGAATTATTCTCCCGATTTTTCTTATTTTTTTTAATCATCCTTCAAAAGATATGCATTCAAATGCAGCTTTTCAAGACAAAAATATACAAATCAGACTTGTCTTTTCCCCCTTTTAAAAAGCCAAAAATGTGACACCTTTTCCTAATATGGACCCTGAACATGTAAACGTATAAAATGAACCGAAGTATAACTACTGTCTGTATTGTAGAATCCATGTTTTGTATGTGTGCCTTTTCAGCGGCGTGGACTCGTGAGTGACATCGGGAACTGGAGCCGGTTTGGCCAATTAGCGCGTGAGCGTTTGCGCGTGAGTTGTGGCCTACAGCAGCTACTTGCGAGTGTTGTCATTTTGTGTTTTCGTGTATGTGGTTGATTGATTGTTTTTAATCTCCCCGCCAACCCCCTTACCCCACCACCCTCCCCAAGAGCTCTACATACAGTGGTTATAAAAAGTGTACACACCCCTATTGAAATGCCAGTTTTCAAACTCTCCCAAACACATTTGGGCCCATATGACTCAGTCTGATTTTTTTTTCATTTTTTTTTTCAGTAAGATTGGTGCAAACATACTTTTTTTTTTCCTTCACCTGAAACCGGGGGCAGGACAACGGAGGGAATTATGAACAATCCAAAATAGCAGTCAATGTTAGCTCAAAACCTTCAGGCTTCTGCTCACAAGCAAAAAAAGACACAACAAAACACCAAATCAGTAGAAGTGATCTTGAACTTCATGAGGGGTTAATCAACGGCATTTCAAAGCATGACAGGTGATTTCTAACTCCCATTTAACATGAACCTGATTGGTTAATTCTGAACACATCGCCACATCAGTGATTGAAGGTGTGCACAATTTTACAAGTATTATTTTGGTTTTCTAATTTTACCACCCCTCTGAAAAAGATTTTTTTTTTAAATTTGTAATCAACCGAGTTACAAAGTTCAGAAGTCACATTCATGGCGGAAAAAGTTTTGAAATGCTTGATCCGGGTCTCGTTTTTAAATGTCACAAAAACCCCGGCATTTGAATAGGGGTGTGTAGACTTTTAATCGAAACTGGTCCTGCAAACGTGTTGCTCAGACAAAAACGCTAAGTTGCTTTGTGTTTTTGACACTCATGACCTTAAACACTGCATCATCAATGTGGCACATGAGATTCGCTTGATGACACTGATGAATTGACGTGATGGACGTGACATTGACACACACACACACACACACACACACACACACACACACACACACACACACACACACACACACACACACACACACACACACAGCACAGAGCCGCGCTTACCTGTAGCAACGTAGGCATCGGGGTGGCCGCTCATCAGCTTTTGTGTGCTGATGGTCACATCAACAAGGACGCCACGTGAGGCTGGTTCCCGCCTCCCGGGACATGGTGGCCCACCTCCTCAGAATAGCCTCCTTGGTGGTCAAACTGGCTTCTCTTCTTTCTTCCTTTTTTTTTTCCTTCCTTCTTGGTCTTTTTCAACACAGCACTGCGCTCGTCCCCGCACTCCTCCTCCTTCTTCTTCTTGTTCTTCTTCTTCTTCCTCCTCTTCTTGGCGTGTCCTTCCCTGCAGGATAGTCCACTTCTGCATCATCAGAATCCCGGCAGCATCCTCCTCCTCTTCATCCTCCTCCTCTTCCTCCCCCTCCGAATCATCGTGTAGTCCACTGGCGCCCTCCAGTGGAGGCCGTTTCAATTACAGCGTCTTAAATAAATAGCATTTTGTGTATTTGGTATTGTATATATATTTACGTGTGTGTGTGTGTGTGTGTGTGTGTGTGTGTGTGTGTGTGTGTGTGTGTGTGTGTGTATATACAACTCTAGACACACACACACACACACACACACACATTTACTTACTAAAAAGGGCTAACGTTATGGAATTCACAAAAAAAAAAAACGTATTTAAATGTATCTCCAAATTCTGTAATTTTTTTCTGAATCTTGTTTTTCAAAAAATATTTTCTTTATGTTTGAGACGAACGTTTTGTGAGTTTCATTTTTTGCAAAAAACATTCCTTTTTTTTTTTTTTTTTTTTTTTTTCCTTCTCACTGCAACATTTTTTTTAGACGTGACCTGTTTTTGTAACACTGAGGGGCGGCTTTTCAGGTGTCCATGTTCCGATCATAAGGCCTTCAAGTCATATCATACGCTACTGTGTGCGCGCTTCCGTGTGTGTGCTTCCACACACTAAAGTTGACCTCAATTTCCAGCCAAGGTGCGAAGCGCCCATAAGCCCAGTGGAATGTAATAAGGTACTGCCAAGTTGCGTCTTTTCATCCACATCCACCAGTCCTTAACCTCTCTCGCCATTTCGCCCTCCATCCCGCATAACGTCTGGCACCAACTCGCCGCTGTCTCCTGTTACTTGTGCTGTAGTTTCCTCCCCAATTTTCTGGTTTCTGCTTTCTGGAGATGAAGAGAAGCGTCTGCTGTCTGTTTCTCCTGGTGATCTGCTTCCACGGCTGCCGGGGCGATCCCCCGGTGCCGCATCTGATCTTCATCATGGCCGACGACCAGGGCTACGGCGACGTCGGCTACCACGGCTCGGACATCCGCACGCCCGTGTTGGATCAGCTGGCGGCGGAGGGGGTGAAATTGGAGAATTATTACGTTCAGCCCATCTGCTCGCCCTCTCGTAGTCAACTCATGACAGGACGGTCAGTCGCTCACCATTTATTTTATAAATAGATGACGATTCCGTCGTACTGTGCTGCCTCGACTTACGAGTGACCCGACTTGAGTTTTTCAAGATAAGAGCTGTAACTACAGATGATTTTTATTTTTCTTCAGCAGCAAGGAAAAATAGGAATTTTGTTGTTTCGAATTGTTGACTGCGACTGTCATTCAACGGACAGTTGGCTTTTTACTTTCAATCTAAGCAAACAAAGAGAGCTACACATTTTTGATTTCGTAAAAGCACAGAAGTTATCCTTATGAAAGTCAGCAAGGTTAATGCTAAAAAACTGAAAAATCCTATAGACTGGTGTTGCTGTACACGATTTGAACACAAAAAGTGCATTTATTTTCTTTTCGCCTTTTTTTGAAAAAAAAAATCTTCAAAAACAAAGTTTTTTTTTTCTCACTACAGCAGGATCATACATACTCGCAGTTCCATACCTGCAGATTAATGTATCTGCGGATATTTTTGGGGGGGATATCAAAGTACTGCTGAATAACATTCATGCGAACTAAAAGTGTCATACGTGTCAATTAACCCTTCTGTGAAATATCCCTTTCATTTTATTTCCCAAACTCATCTCAGCAACCTTTTCTTTTCTTGTCAGCTACCAAATTCACACCGGCTTGCAGCATTCAATCATCCGTCCACGTCAACCCCTCTGCCTCCCCCCGGACGTCCCCACCCTGCCCGAGCGGCTGTCGGAGGCGGGGTACGCCACGCACATGGTGGGGAAATGGCACCTGGGCTTCTGCAGGCCCGGTTGCTCGCCCATAGGACGAGGCTTCCGCAGCTTCTTGGGCACGCTCACCGGGAGCGGAGACCACTTCTCCTATCAGAGCTGCGATAATGCCGAAGCTTGTGGATTTGACCTGCATGACGGCGACACGCCGGCGTGGGACATGGCGGGGAATTATTCCACTCTGCTTTACGTCGAGAGGTGAGAGTCACCGTTTTTATGACATTGGTTATGCATGGGATTGTATGTTGCCTATTTATTGTGTGTGTGTATGTGTGTGTGTGTGTATATGATTTGATGTTGAATTATTTAATTTAATGAAATTTGAAGAAAAACAAATCACGTTTTCCAAATGTCTATGTATTTTTGAAAATACGTGTCCATTATTTTACATACTTTTTATGTTAAAATTGTATTGTTTTGCTCAATAGAAAATATAATTTGGTGATTTATTTATTAATTTATATATTTTTATTTATTTATCCCCCCACCGCCCCAAAAAAAAGTTCCTGTGTGCTTCTATATTTTTATCAACAGTCACAGTGACTTTCCAAACACCCTGTAGCTTTGTGTTCAACTGAACAGGCCAAGGTTTCATCCTGAGTAACTCAATTTGTCAGTAAATCGAGACGAGATCATCGTATCTCTCTGTTTTGCGTGATGTTTTTGGTCTAATGGTGTGCCGTGGCATTTTACAGTTGAGGTCTGGAGACTTGTGGAAGTGGCCCTTAGAAAGTCTTTCTTGGAAAGCCTCATGTTCAAACGAGTTCCCTCCTTCCCAACAGAGTGAAGCAGATCCTGAGAAATCACGACTCTGGCACGCCTCTCTTCCTCTACCTTTCCCTCCAAGCCGCCCACACACCCCTACAGGCACCCGACCACTTCCTGGACATGTACTCGTTCCAGGACAATCGCATCCGGCGTCACTACGCGGCGATGCTCAGTTGCCTGGACCACGGCGTCGGTCAAGTCGTCGACCAGCTAAAGGCGAGCGGTCTTTATGAAAACTCGGTTGTGATCTACTCGTCAGATAACGGAGGGCAGCCTCTTTCCGGGGGAAGCAACTGGCCGCTTCGAGGCGGCAAAGGGACGTACTGGGAGGGGGGCGTCCGGGCGGTGGGCTTCGTCCACAGTCCCCTCCTGAAGACCAAGGGCGTGGTCAGCAAAGCGCTCATCCACGTCTCCGATTGGTACCCCACGTTGCTGTCCCTGGCCGGCACCCCGCAGTGCCAGCGGGGCCTGGACGGTCACGACGTTTGGGGCGCCATCAGCGAGGGGCTCCCCTCCCCTCGCACGGAAATCCTCTTCAACATCGACCCGGTCTCCAGGAAACCCGGGGAGCCCTATGACAAGGCCTTGGGACTCAACGGCTTCGGGATCTGGGACACGGCGGTGAGAGCAGCGATCCGCGCCGGGGATTGGAAGCTTCTGACGGGAAACGTGGGAGACGGCGACTGGACACCCCCGCAGGCTTTCGCAGACGGTCCGGAGCGCTGGCAGGGTCTTGAGAAACGCCGCAATCAGGTGGGCAAGTCGGTATGGCTGTTCAACGTCTCCTCTGACCCTTATGAGAGGTGCGACATGGCCGGATCGCGGCCGGAGATCGTCAAGCATCTCCTGACCAGGCTGGCGGAGTACAACCGCACCGCCGTGGTGCCGAGAAACCCACCCGACGACCCCATGGCGGACCCCGACCTTCACGGTGGAGTGTGGGGACCCTGGCTGGGACTGGAGGGCCAAGAGGGACAAGACGGAGATGGGCCTGGCAGGAAACGCAGGGGGACACGAGTGAAGCAATGCAAGATGTGCAAATTAAGAGCGCTGTTTAAAAATGTGAGGTCGCGTCTGCAGAAGAACGCCGTGTTCTTCTGATGACATTAATCTGTTCTGTTCCAGCCAAAGACATTGAGAGGGACCGTAAAAAATTGAAGTGAAATGTATTGATCCCGTCATTGGATAAGAAGTAGTTTTTCAGCCACCCGCCATCAGTCCCTCAGCTCCCCTCTCTGGCGTTCCCCCCTGTCTGCTCATCCTACTCACGACTGTGTTCCGCACAGCTCCATCAGATACTCGTTAATAGTCGAGGTACATCCTGTATGTGTCAGGTCCGCATGTGCAAACATTTGACTGAATTTACTGTACCCTTCTTTTACCGCCCCCAAACCCCCTCACTCATTTGATTTGAAGTGCCATTTTGTCCCAGCTATATAGTGCTACAAGTCAAACATATTTTAAATGCATTGTGGTGCAAGGGTCAGACTCAAGACCACTTTTTAACCATGAAAATGTTTCTTTGGCACAGATTGTCATTTTTGTTTTACAGAGTGCCCCCTGCTGGACATTAAAAAAAGTGAAATTCGTCCAGTGCCAAAAGGTCCTTTTCTGACATTATTCTATTTGTTTGTTTTTTTTTTTACATTTATTTAATAGAGTTTGTTTACTGAAAAGACAACATTTATGGGTGATGGACGTAGTTGTAGTACAAGTCGAATCATTTAAAATAATTATATGTACCGTATATGTGTAAAATACTTATTTATTTCATTATACTGTATTTACAAATGGTGCGTTTTTTTCCATTATTATCATTTGTGCTAACTTTATTGTCTTTTCAAAGACAATCAAGCTTCATTTTAAATCACAAAATTGTTTTTCCTTGTGTTTATAGTACTGCATCGTACGGTCTCTAATATTTAGGAATATCAATATACCGGTACAGTATTTCGCCACCACTGCAACCGCAATCATAACAATGCATTGTTCTCGAGTCCCAACTAACCAAATTGCCTGTTTCGAAGGACCAAAAAAAGAAAAAGAAAAGAAAAAAGACATTGCTGGCTGAGACTTGAGAGTTGGATGCCCACACGAGTCTCTTCCAGTCTGCTGCGGATGGCCTGTGGAAATAAAGCACCGTCACATGATGTAAATCACCAAGGAGGTGTCACACAAACGCATGCCCACCCAGACACACACACACGCACACACACAATGCATCCAGTACGTGGGAGGGAGCTGTCATATCCATTGTTGGCTGAGGCTCATTTAAAGTTAACTGGGCCTTCTCTTTGCGATGCTCATTTGGTCAAGCTAGCTCCATCCGCATCCATCAATTTGCAGGAGGCTGATTTATCATTTTTTACGGCTTTACGATCAACTGGGAGATTTATATCTTGGTTATTGATTGACGACTTCTGGATGTTTTTTTTTTTTTTTTTTTTTTTTTTTAACAGAAATGGTGGTTTTCCCTCACATTCCAAACACCCGTCAAATCTATCACTATTTCATGAAAGATGAGGAAAAAGATTCACGATTGTGGGGATTCATCGGCACTCAAGCTAAAGCGCTGCGCGGTTTCTGAGTCGTCCATCAATCTCCCAATGTCACTTTCTGGGATGTTGGCCCAGTGTTTCACTGTCAAAGTGCTGATCCTCGATTTCGACCAGATCAGTTATTTATCTTGATATCAAGGCACGGCAGCTGGATTTATTTGTTCAGTCAATCAATCAATTTAAATAGCACAGTTCATACACAAGGCAATTCAATGTGCTTCATAGAAGCAAAGACACAACACCTGAAAGCATTTAGAAAGACAACAGCGGACGATATTCAGAAGCAGAGATTAAAAAAAAATAAATAACTTTTCAACACTGCGTATCCTGAACAGGGTCGCGGGGAATTGCTGGAGCCTATCCAAGCTGACTTCGGGCAAAAGGCAAGACTACACCCTGAACTGGTCGCCAATCAGTCACAGGGCACATATCGAGACAAAGAACCATTCACACCCACATCAACATCGCCAGTGACTGGGAATCGATGTCACGCTGCCCGCACGCCAGTCAAGCGAGTGTCCCACTGCACCATCAGCGACTGGAAATCAAAGTAGGTTTTCTAAAATTATAAAAAGACTGCACTGAGAAGCTTAAATGTATGGGAGGGGGGAAAAAAAGCAACGTTTTTAACCTGGATTAATAACGTGTTGACACTTGACTTCTGTTTGGAGCTTCTTCCGTTTGTGTGCAGCGTAACAGCGAAATGCCACTTCGCCGTGTTTGCTTTGAACTCTGGGCTCCACGAAAATGACCCGAGTCTGCAGACCTTCATATCAATGAAGGACTTTGGGGAATCAAACATGACATTTTGTATGCTTTTCTGTGGCATCATTTATTCGTGCTTGTTTTTATGTTGCTCTGCCACAGAGAAGACAATTCTTGCATCTTTCAAAAATCAATATGCACAATCGAATTCCACCGATATTCATGCGCATTATTCAACACTGTACCAAATGTACCTAGAAGGTCACGAGGTATTATTGTAAAGTTTGCATTGAGAGCTGTTTCGACTATTTCATATTCAACACTGTACCAAATGTACCTAGAAGGTCACTAGGTATTAGACAGTTTATCATTGTAACGTTTGTATTGAGAGCTGTTTCGACTATTTCGACCCTCTTGTAGCGTCACTGCGGCCAAATCTGAGGACACATCAAACGGAGCATTTTTTTTTTTTTTTGCGGTGTCAGCGGTCAGCCAAAGAAAAGAGGAAAAGTGTCTCAACGGCAGGCGGCTGCGAGGCAAGCTGCAAAACATTCTTGCTGAGTGACTCATTCCCCTTTGGCCTCGGCAACACTGCTCTTACTGTTACCCTGCGTCATCGCCGCCAGGAAGTCGAAGCACAAAGTGATGCGCGTTCGTCACCGTAGTGGACCGCAGACGTACACCGAGGCGGACATCGATGAGGATTTGACATAGCAGGCGTGCTGTGGTGACCCAAAACTTTTGTAGAGTATTTTTTTATTGTCATACAAAAAACAAAAACAAAAACAAAAAAAACAACACCACCACCAAACGGGCGGGCAGGGGGGGAGAACGTTCTTATCTGCAAACTGACTGACTCACTTGGCTATCTTTGCATCTGCAGTCACATGACTTTGAATTTCGGCGTATGTTTTATTTTTTTTCTTTCCCCCCCGAAAGCTTTACCGCATGTGTACAAACGCGTGTCGTCCAATGACTTGCAAGTGACCTCATCCCGCCCTGCAGACAGATGATCTATATGTGGAAACAGAGTTAGCGGCAGTCGATGGAGGTGCACGGAAGAAATGATTATTTTATTCCGGTTGACGGTGCGTACAGAACATCACAATGGTAGTATGACATTCCAGTCTTGACGTGAAAATGAAATTCGGTGGAAATTGACTTCACTGGAAAGAGTTTCTCGGAGAAAATTCCACAGACATGCTCTCACAACTCCTTCCATTCTGGCCTTTGTACTTGCATTGAAGTCGTGTTTCAGGTATCCCCGGTAAAGGATCCTTCCGCCTGGGGAAGTCTATTGCTGTGCATTCAGACGTTCGAGTCCAACTGTACGGAAACCGCATTGTAGCACAGCGGTTTTTGCCACGGTCGTGGCAAGAGTACCTTCAGATTGGCAGACCAGGTGACCGGAGGGATTGACGGTGCGTACAGAACATCACAATGGTAGTATGACATTCCAGTCTTGACGTGAAAATGAAATTCGGTGGAAATTGACTTCACTGGAAAGAGTTTCTCGGAGAAAATTCCACAGACATGCTCTCACAACTCCTTCCATTCTGGCCTTTGTACTTGGGGGGGGGGATCACATTCCTAAGCCTCCCCGGTAAAGGATCCTTCCGCCTGGGGAAGTCTATTGCTGTGCATTCAGACGTTCGAGTCCAACTGTACGGAAACCGCATTGTAGCACAGCGGTTTTTGCCACGGTCGTGGCAAGAGTACCTTCAGATTGGCAGACCAGGTGACCGGAGGGAGGGGGACCACACTCCTAAGCCTCCCTGGGGAGGGACCCGACATCTTGCTAAAGTCGAGTAAGAGAGGGCGAACCTGGGAAACCGTACTGTGGTTTTTGTCCCGGTTATGGAACGAACACCTCTAAGATTTGAAGACCAGGCTTGCGACCCGTGAGGTGCAATATGGTTTTTGTCCCATTCATAGGACGAGCGCTTCCAGATTTGCAGACGAGGTTTGATCCAGGTACAGAGAAGGGTCACTCTGCTTCTGTTCATCGTATTTTTGGTCAAAGATGCAGCGAGAGCGTCCGCCACTGCGGCCTTCGGATCACCTCTCTGCTGTATCTGTGGATGATGTTCTTCCGATGACCTCATCAAGCTGTGAGCTTCAGCGATTTGCTATGAGGCTTCGTTGTTGATTGTAGAGTGGCCCGGATGAGAATCGCCACCTGCGGTTCTCAGGCTGAAAAGCTTTGATTGCTGCGAGCGAAGTCCTGCCTAGA